AGAGAGAGAGAGAGAGAGAGAGAGAGAGAGAGAGAGAGAGAGTAAATAATATCATATTCAAATTTTATTTCCAACAATAAATGCAACTGCACAGTTGCTCTACGAAACAAAAAGGTGTGCAGTATTGACCTTTTCTTTTCTCTTTCTCATTTCATTTCTGTGAAGTTCTGTCCGTGAGGTCGATGTAGACTGTGTCACATCTAATTGTCATGAAGGTTTTTTTTTTTTTTTTTTTTTTTTTTGGCAACAAAGTTGCCTTGGACAATCGAAGAAGATCATCTGGGCCGATGATCTGGCCTTGCAGAAACTATCAGTCTCCACCCAAGTTGCCTTGGTCCACACACACAAGAGAGAGAGAGAGAGAGAGAGAGAGAGAGAGAGAGAGATCAAAGTATAATACTGTTTGCATTGGCGGACATGAACATCAATGAAACTGAAATGAGCGAACGTTTTCATCGTACGACATCAATCCGAAATCCAAACACTATGGAACAGATGCGAACGAAACTTATTATTTGTCTACGCGCACATAAGCCTATCGGCGCCTGGCTGCTCTCGCCGCCAAGTGGCCTACGATAGCTTCTCTAGCCGCGTCTCCGCTTTGGTCATTTATGTCGACGTCTTCACCATCTCGCGGCTCTTGATTCCACATACCCAAATTACGGTGTATGTGCATGAAGCGGTCCACATTGAAGTACACATTACCATCAATGCAGAAGTTGTGTAGCACTGCAATTGCCATGATGTAATCGGGGATGAGATCGATGTCACCCTTTTGGCGCTTGTACAACACTCGCCACATACCCTTCAGCCGGCCAAAACAGCGCTCTACACCCTTCCTCACAGATTCATGTGTGTCATTAAACCACAAACGGTCCCCTTGCGGTTGCCCCCGAAATGGTCGCAGCAGCCAGGATAGGTTAGGGTACCCAGCATCACCTATGAGGTACTGGTTTACCCTTGSCCCGTTGTCCAATCGCACTGCCGTGTTGGAGAAGAACCCTTCAAATGTCGCCCGAGTGTAGAGTTGTGACCTCCGAAGCACTAATGTCATGGACACTCCTAGCCCATCCGACATTAAAGTTGAGGATTCTTAAATCCATGTCGGCCACACACTGCGCCACAATGCTATACCGGCCACTCCGGTCGTAGTAGTCTGTGGCCCTCTCATTATCTGGTTTCTCGATGAAGAAATGTGTGCAGTCAATGGCACCAATGCAGTTTGCGAAACCTTCCCGAGCGAATTTGGCAATGGTCTGTGGCATCCGCTCTGCGTCTGGATAAGCGATGAGACCCATCATATTATCCAGTATCGCTCGGGTTACACGCCGAGTGCATTCTATTGCGGTGGCATGGCCCATACCGAATCTGTCACCCACCCGATCGTACGATTCGCCACTGGCAAACCTGTTGAGAGCACACGCCAAGACACGAGCGGGTTCTATCGGTTCCCGCATGTGGGTGCGTTGACGTTCAAGGCCCATGCGAAGATAGCAGTGCTGTCATGCGGAAGTAGGACCTGAATCTTCTGTTCTCTGGCAGAAATTGAGGATTGTGCATATCCCTTCACGTACCGTCGGCTCTTGTCTTCACCCAAACTGATCGAGGAACTCCTGCCGAACTCGCATGCAACATAATACACGACAAGGCTGCAGCTTTCATCATGTGGAAGATTGACACTTCTGCGGTGGACTCCAGTCCAAGGCCAAAGCGCTGCATGACTGCTCTCGTGGCTGATCGTTGGCCTCGAGCAACAGCCCGGACCACGGAAAATCGCCCATGGATGAGGAGCTGGAGAAACATGACCAGGAAACGGCGAAGAGGTTGTCTGCGCTGAACCTCCAGCCTCACCATAGCTGCCCCCTGCACTCTTGAATGCTGGTGCGTTGAGCTCCTTCGTAGTAGCGTGCACAATCACTTCAGAGTAGTGGAGTAGTGGAATGGCATGCCCACACGCCCACGGCTTATGTGTCATGGAGTGTTGTCCAGAACGTGTCTCTATGTTGCCGCGGGACCCTCCAACCCATTACGAGTGCAGGCCCAGCGCAGAAGAGAAGAAAACAGGGCTTGAATCAGGACGCGATTGCGGGCGGGTGCACAAAATGGCGCTACCTACCTTTTTCCTGACTTTTTGCACGTGGTGACGTGCACAAGTCCGTGAACGCGTCCGGATTCGAGTGTCGAGCGCATTCCCGTTACCTGTCGGGACTGGGCGTTATGGAAGTAGGCCCGGTCCGCAACAAAATCGCGCTACCTACCTTTTTCCTGACTTTCTGCACGTGGTGACGTGCACAAGTCCGTGAACGCGTCCGGATTCGAGTGCCGAGCCCATTCCCGTTACCTGTCGGAACTGGGCGTTATGGAAGTAGGCCCGGCGGTGCCGCAGTTGCCGCTGCCAGGCGAACCCTTGGACGACATGACCGTGCAGGCCCAAACGTTATAGGGAACGGGAAAAACACACACACACAAAAAAAAAAAAAAAAAAAAAAAAAAAGTCCACCATCTGCTATCAGCTGTGTGACCACGCTGATACCAAATGGACAGATTTTCAGAAAGTCGGGCCATGTCTTATTCACAAAGGCAGCCGTGTGTGACTACGCAGCGCAGCTAAACCTCAAAATCGCAGTTGCAAAATCGCATAGTATGCAATTTTGGTATTTGTGTGTGAGTATGCCCTAACCGTGACTGCGCCGTAGTTTTTTTTTTTTTTTTTTTTTTTGAACATCAGGCACAAAGGCTATAGTACGCTATACTGTCAGAAGGTGGTGAGAGAACCCTCCAAATTGAGGTTTTGCTATATCATGGGAACTTCACCTGCTGGAAACTGGGTCCAGCATCCCTTTATGGCAGGGCTTATAACTGGGTACTTCCACAACATCATTTAGCTTTGCAGGCTCAAATTGCAAGAGAGGTTCTATGTCCAAAATAGAGATCGGTCAGACAGGGTGACCCTTTTGCTCCACTTCATTCTGTTTTGTTATGGGATGACAAGACATAATCCTGAAGTTCAGGAGATACAAGTCACAGAGATCCAAGATCATCTTATTTTTGTCACATTCCGGAGTTGTGCTGCCAGAAAGGGTCTCGCCTCTCTGAAAAAGTAGGCACATATACCCCACAGTGGTACCGATTAACATTCCCAAAAAAAAACACAATGAAAAAAAAAAAGGAAATAAAACCACCAGTACTTGGCCCAACTATCGACCGCGGGAAAAAATAGAGTAGAAAAGTTTCTAGTCGGATAAATTTGGGCGCTCCTGTAGTAGCCCGTATGTTTCCTAAAATTGTGGCGCGTTAACGGGCACGACTCTAGGAAGTACTGGTGGTTCAAAACAAACAACGCATAAAAGAGAGAAAAACACAACAAACCGTAACCTGTTTTTGATCTTCAAGTAGTCCTTTCATATGGACGGCAAGATTCCAAGGTCCTTGCACCGGTGAACGCCGCTTCTTGCCCGCGGGTGATGTCATTGGCGCACGAAATCCCATGACCACATTTGTAAGCTTGATATGGAATCACCATGCCGCGGATCATATAGAGGCCCCATGGCCAATGCCGCTGAAGGGGAAGGGATCAACGTAAATTAGGAGAGCCATACCTAAGGATTGTGGATGTACAGATAGCTCATGAACCCCCAAGAAAAACCTAAGATAAGTTGATGGAATATAGAGTCCCACATTAGGGTCTTGGGCATGTGTCTGACAACAGTAGGGAACTTGAAGCTGGGCTTTGACAAACTAGTATCTTTCCTTTCACAAATTATCCCTTCGAAATAAAAAACTATACCTTTTTAGCTGGAAGGGCCATTACAATCAATAATTAGGTGCAAGGCACCTTGCGGCACATAGATATCAGGTGAGCAAACATCTTTATTTTGAAGCTCACTTACTATCTACCTTGGAAAAAATTATTACGATGACTTGGAAGTCACCCCTAAAGTGGCATGAGAATTTATATTATGATTGAAAAAAATTACCGCATTTAGTGAAGTGGGTTACCAAACTATCGGTCGAAACCTTCGCCAATTTTCATCGACGACCTTAAACATGGTCGTACACCTACAAGGATATGATGTAATTCGTAGACATGCTTATACTCCTTTCCGGCAACTAACTTGTATACGTATTCCATGCTGAGATTGGTTTACACACCACACTTAGGATATCGCGACGCTTCGTGCCTTGGGGGGTTGAGTCTTGTTAGTCGTACGCTAGAAACGAAAAGCGATAACGCCTACAATAGTGCGAGTGGGCATCCATTCATTCAAACAATGTTTGGCAATTACTTAGTTTAGCTAACAGAGTGTCCAAGTGCGTGTCGGTCATATTCTTTTTTTTTTTTTTCCTTTTTCCTCCATAGTCACAACTACTTCAAGTCAAAGTCCCCAAATGAGGGAGACATTCCACTCTGTTGGCTCCGCAACATGGTTGAGCCTCATCATTGTCCCTCTCTCCCTCCAGTTCGACTGTGGCAAACCCTATCTACCCTTCTTGTTTTTTTGCATGTTTTTTGTGTTCTCCCGTGTTGCCCTCCCAAGAACATGCATGTGATATTTTATGTTAGGACATTGTAGATTGTCAAATTTCTAATCATTGAGGTTTTTCTTACTGTCCTCCTTCAGTGTTGTTGGACTACGAAACTCATTTATCTGCAATTATATTTGATTGTTGATTTATACGAACATATTTATTAAGCCTATTTTTATTGGTTATCCTTTGTCATATTTCAAGAAAAACCTATACACTTGAGCTGCACATGGATAGCTTGTTGCTCGACGTTGCTCGATCTAGGTTGATCTCTACGACCTGTAATTATTATCAACTTCTCGGTATAAAGTGACTCATCATACTGCCATTAATTGAACAGAAACACATGCCTCATTTGAAAGACAACTGTGTTGAAGTTGTGTCATCCCTTCAATTTTGATAGGTTCTCGCTAGTACAATCAGTCCGATACAACGTGGCATGTTGTTTTTGGCTTCAGTGTAGAATGTATGTTTGCTTATACAATCCACGCGCTTTTTTTTTGTCATTCTCCTCCCATGCCCACTCAATGTTGGTGATAAGGTTAATCCTTGTTCTCGCACATAACTTTGGTTTGTAACATGGGCACATCTACCCACCTCGGTTGGAAGAAATACTAGATTATTTTCTCCCATAATGTTATTGTAGGTGATTGCTCAGCAAACCACTTAGCACAATCCTAAGGATTATTATCCAGCTGACTTCGCCCACTGGGTTACCGTTTACTTGATTAGTTTAATTAGTTACTTAGTTTTTTTATAAGCACACATGCATTTGTTAAGAAATTTATTGACAATAGTTCATCATCGTACACCCTACTAACATACTCTCATTGCATGTACTTTACCAGTTTTACGCATCAAGTTAACACTGGTCGAGAGAATCATTGCACTCATTAATTAATACAAGTTGAGTCGCCGTGGCTTCGCTTGTAGTGCGGTGCATGGGGTGGCAGAGCATCAACGGGTGGACTCGGAGGATATAAAGAGAAAAAGGTGTAGTCTGTGTGTGATAGTCCGCCTTCTCTCTCTCTCTCTCTCTCTCTCTCTCTCTCTCTCTCTCTCTCTCTCTCTCTCTCTCTCTCT